TTTTATGTTAGAAAAGTAAGTAATTATCTTAAAAAGGTTAGCAAGAATTCTCTAGTTATTACTGAACTCAAAGGGATATTACATTTCAGTACATCCCAGAATTGGGTAAAAGCTCCGTTACACATGCTGTTGATCCTGGGGTCTTTTGCTCTAGCATTTTGCCCTATGTGCCAACTGTCATCTTCCCAGTTAGGTCTTGGGGCACTGACATGAGATACTTGATGGCCAGGACCATGAAAATCCACTAGAAATAGGAAAATGTCCAAGGAACTCAGAACCCACACTCAAAGCTCATGCCTATATCTGTATGTCCCATTAATGTGGCTGAATGGTCAGAATTAGCTTATTAGTGGCCATATTAAGGATCTGAAAGAAAGGGTCAAGAGACCAATTGCCCTGCAGAAGAGTGGATATAAGGCAAAGTCTGAAGGACAGTCCCAGTGCAGTTGACTCACTAGGCATGGATTTGAGTCCTGCAGGAGAAATGTTGGGATCCCATGCTCATCTGGCTAATATTGGTGCTGTCATATAGCAAGTAGAGGTGATGCAAGCTCTTCTCCTCAAAGGTCACTGGGCATCTATTTCTTAAGGCAGTGTCCAGGTGTCATGTGCATACTAGGTGTGTGATCAGTATAGACTGAATGTGAGTCTGGCAGCCAGAATGTGGGTGCTGGGGGTGCCAGCGGATCCCTGTGTTCAAGCTCAAGGGCAAGCTTTGAGAAAAGGAAACCTACAAATATGCACGTGTAACTGGGGGTTGCATGGGTCAGAGCAAGGCAAAGTTTTTGGACCTACAAAGTCAAGGGACCCTGAATGGGTCACAGAGACCGTGTCACAGAGATATAAATGTAAGCACGAGTTTTGTGTATGGCTTCTTGGTTTCCAGATACTTTTCTACTTTCTGATGGATTTTGGTGACCTTCACCATCAAGGTGGTTTAGGTTAATGCAAGCAATGTAACATTATTTGTGGCCGAGTAGTTTTGGAGGGTGCCTTCAAGTTCACATGGACTTTGGCGTGAGCACTGGCTGTGTGATCCTGGCACAGTACAGCACTAACTTGACCTTCAACTTCTCATATATAAAATAGGAATGATAACACTTAGCTCACAGTGTTGCTAGGAGGATTAAATGATAGAATGCAAGTACAGCCCTTACTATACTTCCATGAAAGTAAGATCAGGTCTTGTATTAGTTTTTTTGTTTTGTTTTGTTTTCAAAAAATCACAGTCAACAAAATTGAGCAGATGTTTCTGTATTTTCCATGACAGCATTGAGAAAACTAATTGGAAGACAACATTATACAAAACAACAACCATTGTTGAATTCCTGTTATTTTGGTTAGGGAAATTCTGTATTGTTTCTAATGGTTTTTCTTTTTTTTTTCTTTCTTTCTTTTTACCATTTTGAATTCTCTTTAAAAAAATAAAGAAAAGAATGTCAATTATAGCATACAACATATGAATTGTGAATTCAGAATTATGAGGTTGTATTAGAGACAACCATATCTGTTCATATCAACTGTGTACTTCATTTGTGTGCTGTATCTGTACTCTGGTTCTTTGACAGTAAGTCATGAGGTTCATTTGCTTACCCAGAGGTGCTTACCTCTGGTCCAGAGATGTCCACTTTTATATTATCATTTATTTTAAGTACTAATGTCAATAATATTATGTATTTCTATATAATTACATTTTATATATCTTTTTTCATTTTAATATTATTTTACAATCCAACATGTCTGTCAGGTGTTGCAACAGATGTACCACACTAAATGCATCTGTCTGGGTGCTGAGCTTACCTGGGGCTTATTTTTAGGGTAGAGCTTATATTATGAGCATTTTGAAAATTCGTGCTAAGGCTTACTTTCTGGTTAGGTCTTACTTTCGGGGAAATACGGTAGCATAGAGCTTCCCGTGCTTTAAATGATCAGCCAATGAGAGTAAGAGTAACGAAAAGAAACATTTCTATATGGTTAATGGAAGGGGGCAGGACTGCATCGAAGGAGCGTGTTGGACTTCGAGTGCAATAGAATGTCAGCCCTAGAGTCAAACCAGTTGCTTGATCTCTGTGCCTATCTGTTTTCACTTGCAAAACAGTGACAGTACCTGTTTGATAGGATTATTGTGAAGATCAACTTATAGTAAGAAATAAAAGCCCTTAATAGCATTCCCAGCACATACCAAGCTTTTAGAACATATGTCCACCATTGTTATTTATCTTCAATAGTGATTAACAAAAAATTAGAGATGACTGGGAATAGTGTGTTGTGGTTCATAAAATAGAAGAATTCCCGTCACGGGAAATGTTCAGTTGGAGAGTAGCTTAGTGGGAATTTAATTCGGGGCCTTCAGATGGTAAAGTGATAGAAATGTTAGAGGACCACCAGATTCCTCCCCACATAAGACAAGGAGCACAGAGTGATGGCTGCCTATTTTTAAATTTTGACACTGTCACTAGCTGTGTTACCCTGGGAAAGTCGCTTAGCTTCTCTGTGCCTCAGGTAGGCCTTCCACAAGTAAAACAGGAAACAGTTCTCACCTCATACAAAGCTGAAAAGGGGTTGTGTATGAAGACTGCTTCCAATGGTGCTCGTTTTACCCCAAAACTGGGACTCTTCCTCTCTAACCTCCCTAACCTCCTTTCTTTTTTCCTGTCACTGGGTCCTCTTCTCATTTTTCTGTCATTCACAATAGCAGCCCCAGTGGGCTCATGTTACTTTAAAATTTCCTTTAGATCCTGGCCCGGAAGCTGGCTTATGGCTTGAGGGTGACGTTCCTCTTCCGTTGCGCTTTGCGGGCTTGCACATATGTCTGGTGAGAATGTATTTTAACAACAATCTGTCAGCCCTGTAATGAGGGTCTGCTAATGAGGCCCTTGGCAGATGCCTTTTATTTACAGAGATAACAAATGCCACCACTTGGTTGTGCTCAAAGCATTTCAAAGGCCAGTGGACTCATTGTCCTCATCAATACTGGCTACACTGAGGCTCGTTTTGTCAGAGGACTGCATGCTACATTTGTATTTCTGTGAATTGTAACCTTTCTGCTATTCCTGCATGAGGAAGAGTCCTTGCAAATGCCTGTCCTTTTACCCGTCCCTGTAATTTTTCTGCCTCACTTTGAGGAATTTTAACAAAATCATATATTTTTTTTACATTATAATTTTATTTTATTTTGAAGAGTAAAAACAAAAGCAAGAACAAAAATCAGAAAGAAAGAAACAGGGTAACATACAGCAATACATATGTTACAGATTTTCAAAACAAGAATAGCTGATTAACAATGGTTGATATATTACCTATTTTTATCATCAAATCTGTTGCCCAATTTAACATATATAGTTACAAAAGATTGGACATATGATTGAATGTTAATGCTTTCTTTCAAGAAATCTTAAATTTTTGTTCCTTTTTCTTAACTCATTATTTTTTTTATATCAGGGGTTTTTTTTTGTTTGTTTGTTTGTTTGTTTTGTGGAACCAGGGATTGAACTCAGGCCCTTGCACTTGCCAGGGAAGTGCTTATTCCACTGAGCCATCTCCCCAGCTCTTAACTCATTATTAACTTTATTGAAAATCAACAATAATCATACAGTAAATTAAAAATTATAGACAAATATTGAAATGTGAAAGATATAAGATATTGACAGAGTGAATTTTGGAAAATATTTCTGAAATGAATATATAACAAGATTAATAATAGATTGCACATCGTAAAACAAACTTAAATGAATATATATGTATTTACAAACTTAAATGAATATAACAAAAATTATCTAAAATAAACATGAAGATGAGTTTTCAGATCAGTCATATAATAGTTATCTCTGTTGCAAAATCAAGAAACATATTAATAAAATTAGAATTCTCAAAGTAGAAGAGGGTAGGCAATAAATATTTAAATATTTAAAATTTCTGAATTTAGTTAAAATTATAGCATCACATTTCCAAGAAAAATTAACCTTTTGTACAACAAATATGATTAAAATCATATCAAGATACACAAAAATGAAATTGTCCAGAACTAATTGTAAAGAAAAAAATCATTAAAACATGTGCATAGAAAAAATATTAGCTATGGAAGAACAAAATTGAATAGCATCCTCTTCCATGTTAGAAAAAAAAAAGGAGCAAGTGGGTAAGAAACTAGACTTGTTTATTCAAAGGAGTGAAAAAAAATCTGTACTTATGGAATTTTATACTTAGCAAACATATCTTTGAAAACTAAAAGTAAAATATTTTCCAGTTATACAAACTCAAAATATTCTAATACCTCCAGATGTAGTATATATAAAATAACAAAGACTATAATCCAGAAGGCAAGAGAAGTTGCTGTGTGGTCCTGGATAAAGAATAAAGAGTTCTCAAAATGGTAGTTGTGTAGGACTATGTAAAGTACAATTATAGTAGATGAACCCATTTAAAAGATCATTGAAGATTTCCACAAAGCAGTATGAATCTTATGTCAGGTTACATACATGCAAAATCATATTTTATATGTCATCTGCTGTTGTTACAACTGTTGATGTTATTTTTAGGATCTTTGCCCAAGTGCCTGAGCCTCTCCATGTCCCTATGACAGGGGCTGAAAGCATACATGTGAGCCAAGGGCCAGGCAGGTAGTGCACTAAGAGAAGCCAGAGGCCAGTGAGTCCGAGGCACCTGCACCCCATGGGTGCTGCTGGCCCTCACCCTGGGAACCATTGCTGTGGGCCGAGGGTACCGCAGCAACTCTGGGACTGCTGGTTTCTCCAAAGAGGACATTTGCATCTTATACGCAACCCTGTATCTTTGGATGTTTCTTGAACAGGGTGACAACCAATTTAACAGATTCTGAAGACAGTGAGCTCCCAGACTCTAATCTGTACTAAATGTCAAAAAAAAACTTGTACTGGTTTTCTTTGCTAGTTAAAAATAAGCCCACAAAACCACAACAAAACCAAAGGTACCTCCAACAGCCTATAAGAATAAATGAGAGCTCTGATTCTTTGTCTTTGCAGACTGGTACAGAGGCTACCTCATGAAGCATAAAATGTTACAGGTAAGTCCATTTGGTTGTTATTTGAAACAGTACTAGACACTTTCACCTGGCTCTGCCACCCCACCTGGCTCTGGCCCCAGCAAATGGATCTCTTACTGTGTCCCGAGCTGACTTCTGCACTTCAACACTCACTCAGCTTCAGCTTCCTTCCTGTCCCCGTCCTTCTGCAAGGCCCATCTCTGGTGCTGTTATCTCCCCTGCTCCTCTGGCACTCACTTCTGATTTTTCTCCTCCTCGAGTTCCTGTGGAATGGTGCTTTTCTTACCTGCTGTCTACTTGCTATTGCTTTCTTTTAATGTTATGTGGGGAATTCATGCATCCCTTTCCCATAGGCCACAGGAAGGACAGGCTCAGCCCACTGTCGAGGAGTTCCCTTGCCTCTGCCTCCCTTAAACCATCATCTCCCAAAAGTTAGCACCCACGTTGCCATTACATTCTTTCTCCTGGTGTCTAGTACAATAACCCAATGTTCCCACGGTGCACACTGTTTGAATTTATGAAGGAACTTCCAAACAGATGATGAGTTTCTCCCTCTTTTCTTGTTATCTGAGCTGAACATGTGAAGCTAGGAAATAAAAGAGACCTCTTCCTTCTTCCCTGACAAGCTGTGTTGGGAGGCACAACCTTCTCTGTTTGCTCAAAGAACAATGGGATAGTTCCTGGGGAAGATCTCGGATTTAACTAGCTCAAATTAAATCAAGGTCTGCTATATATCGAACATCTTAGACATAGCATGGAACAGGTATTTTCCATCAAGTATTGATGTTTTATACTTTAAAGCCCTATAGAATGTGAGGGGAAAAATAAAAAATAAAAAAAATTTAAAAATAGGAATAAGCAATTACATATTTTTACACAGAAATTTAGAAAGCCATATTAATATGCTGAGCTGTAAAAGGCTCAAGTCAACAACTTCTGACATTGCCAGTCCTACAGATAACCCACTACTATTATGGACCACTGGACTATATTGGGTTATTTTTGCTGAATTCATGCACCTACAATATTTAAATGGCAATGGAATACCTATCTCTGACAAAACTAAACAAAGAAAGGGGATATAAATGAAGGACCATTTTGTATCTGTATATACAAAATAGTTAGGATAGACATACAGCTACTTTCTCTTAATTCAATGAGAAGAAAGATTTGTACCAATAATGTTTGGACAGGATATCATGTCTGCATCTTGTACTATGAATAACTACTATGAAGACAATAATATGCAATGCATTCATTATTGTAATTGCCCTACTAATCTGTTTTGAAACTGTCTCATTGCTATTTGTTTCTCAGTAAAAATAAATAAATAAATATCCCAACATACCCTTTGGGTTTTGAAGAAAAACAAAAACAAAAACAAAAACAAACAAAAAAGAACAAGGTCTGCTACTTCCCAGACCAGTGACTCCTTTTCCCTCCACTTGGGTCTGACAATAAAGGGATATGACTTTTTTCAGATTGGGCAGGCACAAGTGAAACAGTCTTCTTTACTCACATAGAGCTCATGGCTTTGGTCATCTTTCCAACGGTGCTCTCACCTTGCCCCCCAATAGACTGAGCATCCTTGGTGGAGTGGTTCATCTTTTGGGGGTTAGGGCTGTTTGTGGGATCTACAGCAACTAAGTCTAAAGAAATAGACTGAGAATCTATCCCTGTTCTGTGATTATTCCTTTAAATTTTAATGCTCTTTAAAGCCTATCAGTGGTTTCTGGAAAAATCTTAAAGACATAGGGTCATTTTTTTTTTAATAAGAAATGTCCTTTTATCTGATTTTATTGTTTCCAACAGGGCATTTTTCCAACATCCTTTATCCACATCAAGGAAGTGACAGTGGAAAAAAGAAGGTATTTGCCATCCTTAACCACACTTCATTCATGGATGTCTTGTTTGCTTTTGTCTTTGTTTTGTTGATGTTGAAAAGCTGATTCGGTAGATGTGAAGATCACTTAGCTCTCTGCTTCCTGACTAAGTTTGTGTCTCCTTCCTCCTTCTCAGTGAGTGATCAAATCCAAATTGACTTGAGTTCAGATGTAATTTTAAGTTTGATTAGCCAGATTACAGAATCTAGCTTTTCATTGGCAGCTGTTTTTCAACTTTATTAAAGTAGCTTAATCCTAAATAACGAGCATGAGAAGCCCATCTCCGCAAAGGAGGGTTTTCGAAGGGAGACCCTTGTATTTGCATTTTATAATTGGTGGTTTCTAGAGCCAGTTGAAGCTAATGTCAACAAACAGCTGAGGTTGATGCAAAATTGCCAGGGCTTTTTTTGTCGGCACCTGGGTCTCAATTTCATGCCTTTTCTTTTCTACTCTAAATAGAAATACGGAGAATATTATTCCAGCAGAAATTCCCCTGGCACAAGAAGTGACGACGACACTTTGGGAATGGGGAAGCATCTGGAAGCAGCTCTATGTGGTGAGACTGAAAACTCTGTTCTCTGGGAAGAAAGTTCTTGCCTCTTTCTGTTTGCTTTAACTTTGGCATTTAGTCTTGAGCGGGGCAGGCCAAGGTGGTGCTGTGACGTATCAGCATATATGTTATGTATAGGAACACTGAAGTCCAAAAAGTTAAGTAACTTTCTCAAAGCCATACAGCTCACTGGTGACAACCATAATAAATGGGCCTGATGTGTTATTATTTTGGTGATGAGAATGGACCCCAAAATCTTGGCTAGAGGAGTGTGCTGCAGTTAAGCTACATCCCCAGACATTTATGTTTTGAAACTGCCATAAAAGCTATCACACTTGGGTTTGCAGTGAGTCACCTCAACATGTTTAAACATAAAGCTTCTTCTGATGAGACTTAGTAATCTGAATATTTAATAAACTCAAGGGATTTGATGTGGAAGTCCATTGACAACACTTGAGAAATACTGTTTTCATATATTAATTAACTGATAGCTGATGTTCTCAGATCTATGAAGAAGCGCTGACCCTAAAAAAGTGAAGAGCTCATTGTGCGCGTGTTTCCCTGTTTTGAGGCAAATCTAATTTAAAATCCTCCTCTGATGCTCCAGAGCTCCTAATGAAAGCAATTAGCCAAGCAAACCATTATGCTGAGAGTGAAAATGTCAACCAAGGCTCATTGCGTGTTCATTACAGCGCTGTGCACATTTGCTGGGGTGGGCACGCTATTTGCAGACTCACCTGTTATGGTCTTTGGTGTTGACAGTGAGGAAGACATTTTAAATATATGGCAATTGACATACTTGATTCTGTGTCAAGAAGGTTTGGGGGGTATGTTAGTCTGTTTTTCATTACTATAATGAAATACCTGAGAGAGGTAACTTTATTTTTAAAAAGGCAGTGTACTTTGGCATATGGCTCTGGAGTACAATGCAGAAAGGCTGCGTCTAGTGATGTTCTTCTTGTGGGCAGAGGATCAAGGTGACACAGAGCATCGCATGGTCAGAGACAGGGTGCATGTGGGGGTGGGGTGGGGTCTCTCTCCATCTTATAAAGCCACTGGGATTCAACTTGATGGCTTTATCTAATTCTGATCACCTCCCCAAGGGCCTGCCTCTGAAGACTACCACTGATGAAACCTCCTCTCTCCTATACCTCACAAGTGACATTAAGTTTTAATCTATGAAACCTCAGAGAATGCTCAAAGCATTGCAAAAAGCAAACAGTACACTCGGCTGAGGTGATTTCTTGTTCATCTCTACCTCCCTCTTTAAGACATCTATACACAGGCACCATGGAAACCTGACATTTTCCTTTAGGAAATATTTGAATAGCTAGTCTGCAGTGGATTTATTCAAGTAAAGAAATCCTTAAACATCTATTTATTTCAGTTTCACCTCCATGATTTTTGCTAACTCTGCCTACCACATGTGTAATATTTACTTGATACCTAAACTCCCTTTTTACATAAAAAAGTTTGTCATGCTGTGTCCCTCCAGTCACAATCCTCTGAGTGCCCAGTACCAAATAGATGCCCTCTGTTCAATTCAGACACTAATTTGGGGGCAATTTCGGACTCTGTAAGTTTGAAGCCCACAACATTGCCTTCACTTTAGATGTCACTGGTATTTCTTGTACCTGACTACAAATTCAAGGTTTCTTATGACCCCCTCTCACCAGGTATCCCCTGCCCACTTTAGGTTCCATAACTCATAGACCATCTCTTAGATCTTAGGAAAGGGCTGTACTTATGGCGATAGTTTTATTATGAGAGATGTAACTCAAAAGTGGCCAAAATGCAGAGCTAGGGAGGCTCAGAACACCACAGAGCTGCCGCGTCCTCTCCAGGTGGGCAACCTTCCAGTGTACCAGTCAGTGCCTACTGTCTGGCAAGCTCCTAGAACCATATTGCATATTTTCATTAAAGCAGCATTATATCGACCTGATTTTTCTTTTCTTTTCTTTCTTTCTTTTTGGGTTTGGGGGAAAAGTACTAGGGATTGACTTTAGGATTCACTGAGCTAGATTCCCAGTCTATCTGTCTATCTATCTATCTATCTATCTATCTATCTATCTATCTACCTACCTATCTAGATACAGAGTCTCACGGAGTCATTTGGGTTGCCCAGGCTCGGCTCCAGCTCATGATCCCCCTGATTCAGCCTTGCACAGTGCTGGGATTGCAGGCACCACCACCACACCCAGCTACATGGCTGATCTCCCCCATATCCCACCATCCCTGGATTGAGAGGTTGAAGGTGAAAGAAGTGGAGTGCAACTGAAAGTTCCAATCCTTTAGTTAGTTACTTGGTTGGTTCCTATGGCAACTATCTTCCATTCTGAAGCTATTTAGGGGGCCACCAAAAGTTGCCTCATGGGCCGGGGAGATAGCTCAGTGAATAAGCGCTTGCCTGGCAAGTTCAGGGTCCTGAGTACAATCCCTGGTACCACAAAAAAAAAAAAAAAAAAAAAAGCAGTAGTTGAAAGAAAGGAAAAAAGAAAGGAAAGAAAGAAAGAAAAAAAAAAAAAAAAAAAAAAAAAAAAAAATGGAGTAGCAAAAGTTGCCTCATTAACATTGTCAGATATAGTTGCAAGGGGCTCCTTAGTAATAATAAGACGTTTCCATCACTCTGCATACATGTTTCAAGGTTTTTAAGAGTCCTGCCTCAGGAACCAGGAACAAAGACCAAACACACACACACACACACACACACACACACACACACACACACAGAGCCACACATGCTTTGTCACATGGAAAGTCAAAAATATTTAGCACAGTTAGATAGAAGAACTCTATTGAAATTCAGTGGTACCTTGGTTCAGGAATGCTCTTGCTTGCAAACAATTTAGTTGCCAAAACTTTGTTTTTGTTTGCAAACTCAACATCAGGTGACAAACACAACTGTGGTTATCTTTCCTGCAAAAACACAAACGTGGATATTCTCTCCAAAACCATGAAACAAATTAAGTTCATGAACTTAGGTACCACAGTACTTGCAATGAAAATAAGTTACTGTTATGGGATGCTTTCTATAGAATCCACTAATAACTTTAAGCCCCAAACCAACTATTTTTTTGTATTTATTTATTTATTGGGATTTTCAGGGAAGGGTCTCTAGGGTGTTCAGGGTCTCACTACTAGATCAGATTCATAGTGATCTACCTGTTTACAGCCTCCCAAGAGCTGGGATTACAGCACTCGGCATCATGCCCAGTCTCAATCACTATCTCAGCGTGCCCTGGGGGCAGGGCCGGGATGGCAGGCCTGGAGCTTGAACCCCTGGCCTCTCTGCCTGCTTGCAGTCTTTTTTGTTTTTAAAAGCAATTAACAAATATGTGAGAGGTGTTCAAGATATAAAACCTTAAGACTAAGCCTTTGTTTTTTTCTCTTAGAGGATGGAAGGAGAGTAGATAGAGGTCATGAGATGAATCAGTGTCATTTGACCTTGGATCACTGTGCCACCCAAAGCCATAGTGGACCCTGCAGGCTGTGCTTTGGGGATGCTCTTGCAGAATCAATCCTTTGTACCTAGAGCAATGGCCTGGCTCCCAGCCTTAAAAAGCCTGAGCTCTGGAGTTTTCTTTAAAGCAGAGGTTCATGGCCTGCCTGGCTTGGCCTTTTGGGATAAAAGTCACCAAGGCCAAGAAGTGGCTGGGAGCAGTCATGGTGTGCATGTGTGTAATTCCAGTTATTCGGGAGGCTGAGGCAGGCAGATCACAAGTTTGAGGCTGGCCTGGGGAATTTAATAAGACCCAATTTCCAAATAAAATGCAAAAAGGCTTGGGGATATGGCAAGTGGTACAGCATTTGCCTAGGATGTACAAAGCCCTTGGTTCCATCCCTAGAATGGAGAAAGTAGAGAAGAGAGAGGAGAGAAAGATTACTACTATTGTTTTTGCTTTTTAAAAACCTTCGTGAGCCAACAGGGAATAAATATATCGACAACCAAGACTATCACCCCATCCCTTCATAGCTGGAAGGCTTGGGAGAGAGCTGTAAGCCAGTGCTTTCCTGACCTTGGCATCGCTCTCCTGATACGTCCCACAGAGGTGATTATGTGCTGCTTCCTGTCTTCTAGGCCAGCAAAAAGGAGCGCTTCCTTCAGGTGCAGTCCATGATGTACGATCTGATGGAGTGGAGGTCCCAGCTCCTCTCGGGGACTCTGCCCAAGGACGAGCTCAAGGAGTTGAAGCAGAAAGTCACGTCCAAAATCGACTATGGCAACAAGTAAGTGCTCTTGTACCCAGACAGCTGCAGTCTCCTCCACTTCCTTTTCCTTTTTTTCAGCTTGAGAAGCTCAATTTTGTCTTCAGATGGGAGTCTGTCACTCTCTACTTGGGAGAAGCTGTTTCCACAGCCGTGCATGTTGTGCCTTTGCAGTCACCCCCCTGGGACCCAGGGCTGTGTGAGCACAGCCGAGGCTTGCCTATGCAGTGGTTATTATCAGCCTGAGAGATTTAGGACACTCATTTAACCTACTTCCGAGGGATTGGGGAGTGCAGTCATGCTGGTTCACTTTCAGCTTAGTTGTCACTTTATCCCTGCATTTATAAAACTCTGCTTTAAATCCTAGTGTGAGGCTTAATGCCTCTTCTTCCACCCTAAATTATCTAAGCCACACGTCACCAGCTCCCTGGCACACACAGTTACAAAAGGGTTTCTGAGGAAAGAAACCAGAATTGACTGAAATGTGAACACTGTGAAGTTTCATAGAAAACAAAATAATGTTTTGAGGCAGAGCAGTCCACTTAATAACAGTAATAGTGGCAATGGTACCCTTACAAATACTTGATCAGATTTTATTATGCACGGAGCTTTGTGTTACATGTTTTAGTTGCTGTCTCCCTTTTAATGCTGAAAACTCTATGTAGTTTTATTATTCTTACTTTTCCAGATGGGGAAGGAACCAAGACTCCCAAGGTTAAGTAAGTTGTCCAGAGTCCCATAGCTGAGATAGCTCGGCAGTCCGAACACCTGCCTGGCAAGTGCAAGGACCTGGGTTCAATCCCCAGTACTATATGCTGTGTGGCATGCACCTGTAATCCCAGCAGTGAGGAGGCTGAGACAGGAGGATCACTATGAGTCTGAGCTGTGTAATGAGACACTGTACCAAATAAATAAATAAATAAATAAATAACAACAAGAGAGTCCCACAGCTAGTAAATGCCAGACCCAGAATTTGGACCTAGGCAGTGTGTCTGACCTGCTTTGTGAGTTGGACAGTATGGACAGTATTTGAAACTGTAAGGGTTTCCTCTCCCTTTGACTTTTTAAAATATCCTCTAAATTCCTGTTTGTATCTTTATTTATTCCTACAACAAACACATATGTAACACAGTTAATGGATTTCCACCTAGGTGTTGGGGCTAAAGAAACAAAAGCTCCTGATCTCCACAGGGTAGCAGTCCAGAGAGGAAAAAGCCACAGGGAGTGGCTGACATGTAACTGTACCAAGTCTGGTATCTTGGGAAGCAAGTATGCTCTGGATCTGACTTGGAAGTGGAAGTTAGTGGAGACGTCCTGGAGGAGGTGGCCTCTCTTGAGTCGCTAAGTTCAGAAAGGGGAGTGTACTGGTTCCAGGCTTTCTTAGTCTTGTCATATACAAAAGGAAGACGGCCCAAAGAAGAAAATCAACAAGCCCTGGCTCCCTGCCAGTGCCTGACAAGTGTGTCCAAATCTGCTTATAAACCATGGCCTCCCAAAGGGGCAGGAATAGTTTGCCATGCACCTGCCGGCACCCTTGGTATGGTGGCATCTTTAGATGAGTACGGTTGTAACTGGTAGAGTGGACCAGAGGGGTTTTGCTCCTTTCAGTGGTTTCTGTGCCTTTCAGATGTGATTTCCCCAGGGAAGCATCCCTGGAAGAAGGACCAGGGCTCGGAGACGTGGTCGTGGATCAGAGGAAACTTTTTTTGGCACACCTGCTAAGGCCCAAGGTGCAGGCATACATCAAATATGGCTTCAATTTTTAATGACAATCGTAACCAATAAGAACTAGGGATACCTCACTCTGTCTATGCCAGGTGCTGGTTTAAGTACATCCTTTCCTGATTCTTGCAATGAGGAAGCTGAGGCTCACAGAGTGATTAGGTGCTTTGGTCTAAGAGGCAGTGTGATCTGAACCAGGTGGGATAGCTCCAGGGTTCGCGTGTGTGGTCACTGCCCTGCACTGCCTCTCAGGGACTAGGCTGGTAAGTGAGGTTGGCAGGGAAGTGAAGAGTCACCTTGCATAGAACACAGATGCTTCGAGAGAGAGACAGAAACATGGCCAAGCTTGGAAGAGTCAGGGGTGACAGCCACCCCCAATCTAACAGGAGGAACAAGAGTTACTAGGTGAAGTGCTGAAGAGAATCTCAAAGAGGCAGGTTGAGAAAAAGTGGGGAGAGGAAGACAGACTTGAACTTGGAGAGGAAGGCAGATGACCCAAGTGCCAAGAGAGAAGTGTGGATTTGTTCAGATTGCCACACTGAACATGGCAGGGGCAAGTACTCTTTTATCTTTTTGAAATGCTTACAGTGGGCGTGTCTTCCCCTACTTCATCTTGGGTTCATTCATATCACTTTCTTGGGCAGAAAATAGCAATGAGGCTCCCTCCTGAGGAGCGCTTGTCAAAATGCTCCACCCCCCTGTAGGTAGAGCTGCTGCATCTGGGGTAGTGCTGTCCTGTTGCTGAACAGTCTCTCCCGAGCCCCCTCCATCCTGTTATGACTATTAAAGCTTCCAAAGTTCCAAGTGAGTCTGGTAATACATGAGCTTTTCACCATCCAAGCAGCGGGGAATCCTCAGATGACTTCTCCAAATCCCAAGACAGCTGGACCTGAAAGAATATTTTATTCATATGTTTTAGAACTTTGATAAATTCTGAAGAGAAAGAGCTAGAGAGATCTTGGCATTAAATTATGTATCGGCTCTGCTCCATCTTTTCTGAGGTCACGCGATCCTCTGCTGAGCATTAGCTGAATGCATTTATTCCCCTTGGCATTGCCCCTTACACAGCATGGCTGTGCAATATGATGAGTCATATCTAGTTCGGAGTTAATTTCCTAATGAATATGGACAAATGTGTGATCCTTGGCTCTCTTCTGTTTGGGTAAGCTGCAAGATGTGCCTTCAATTTGATCCTCAAATAAGGTTTGAAGACTGAGTGTCTTTTATCTGACCTTGCTGCCCTTCCAGAATCTGTTATTCAGTAAAGGAGTCCAAGCAGAACCACTGTTGGTCTTCTCAGAACCTCCCTCTGTCGGGGTCTGTGTATATACAATGTAGATTCTCCTGTTACCATCAAATGCAAATGAAGCTTCAGGTTAAGGCCTGTGCAAGCCTGCACTGCCCCTTTCTGCCCACTCCAAATTGTTTCTAAGTGCCTCATGTCTACAAAGTATACCATGGGGCTTAAGAGTGCTGGCAAGGTGCAAATTAGCTTTTGGTAGCTATGTGATCTTGAACACATTAATTAATCTGAAGACTGTTGTCCTCAGTCTTTTCTTTATCTGTGAAATGGGCCAGGCAATAGTACAGTACCCCTTCTTACGGGGCTGTTAGGAGGATTAAATGAATTGCCATGTGTAATTCGCTCCCAAGCACATAATAAGACTGTGTGTTTGCTGTTAGAGTTATGATGCCAGGCTGAAGGGTGGAGTACAGCTGGAACTAATCAATACCAAACAGGAGGAAGCTTGTGACAGCTGAAGAGCAAGCTGTGGGGAACAATTGACACATCTGTGATTGTTTCCCCCAGCAATTATCTTCATATTTTTATTGAGTAATGTCTGAGTGTGTGTGTGTGTGTGTGTGTGTGTGTGTGTACTAAACATTAAACAAAGTGAGCCAGAACACTTGCCTCCTTTGGGCCCTCCATTCCACCAAGCCCCAGGCTCCCTACCTCTCCTCACAGGTAACCCCTGTTTGTAGTCTGGCTCTTTAAAATTCAGGTTCTTCTCTGTTCCCAGGTACTAGTATAGAGCAGACCCACCTATTAACATATCTGGCTTTATTGTTTGTTTTTTTCACATAATACACTATATGCAACTTCCCATAATTGATTTTTTATAGAGAGATATATCATTAAAGATATCAAAAGTACATAATAATTTTAAACCTTGTAGCATAGTTTTCCATTATAGATCTCAGGGTTTTTTAGCCATTTGTCTTTGGATAGACCTTTTGGGGTCTATTCAACACTTTGGTGGTGCAAGCAAAGCTACAACACACATCCTTGTTTAAGTGTGGGGCATTTCTTTTGGTTTAATATCATAGAAAATATGGCTTTGAAAATAATTCAGTGTTTCCTACCACCCTACCTTCCCACGAGGCCGTTGTACCCCAGTATGTGTCCCGCAGTGATGTCTGAGGCCATCTGTGCAGACTCTTTTGTGTAGCTCTATGGTCCCCAGAGATCATTTGAACCTGCTGCAACAACTTCTCATCAGCATCATAAAGTCCTTCCTGATTTGTCTTCACCTCCAGTATTTGCTTTTCAGAATCCTTGAGCTTGATTTGATTGTCAGAGATGAAGACGGAAACATCTTGGATCCTGATAATACCAGTGTAATCAGCTTATTCCATGCGCATGAGGAAGCTACAGAGAAAATCACAGAGCGCATCAAGGAAGAAATGGTGAGCTTTGTTAAACAGGATTTGGCCAAGTGAGGCAGGCATTTAGAACATCAGAATTTAAAATAATAGGCTAATTAACCAGACTGTATTTTTTCAAGGGGCCATCTGTCCTATGACCTAAAATGATGGTTTTATGTTCAGGGTTTAATTTACTCAGCATCCATCTCACAAATGCCAGGCAAGTTTCCTGCTCTCTTGGAGACTTTTAGATTACAAAGAAGAGAACAGAATAGAAGGAAAGTGGTAAAA